AAATCCATTACATTAAAATTTTTTGAAAGTTATTAAAGTATTGATTAAATACAGACCCTTAATGTTACACCGGAGCTACTTTGCTACAAATTTAGAAGATTGACGAAATTGTCTTGATCATTTTCTGCATTTGTACATTTTTTTGGGGGTTTATAGAAATTTTAAAATTACGTACATAACTATAGAGATGTGTGAGGATTCCTAGACTGAAGTCTAAAGGATTAGAAAATTAATAAAAAGTTAATTACCAAAATGGTCCGTTAACTATAGTAAAATTATCAATTTGGTCCATGACTATTTTTTTTAACCAATTAAGTCCTCAACTTTAAAATTTTTAACCAATTTAGTCTTCCGTTGTTTGACCGTTAGTCAACCGTTAACTTGAGACCAAATTGGTAATTTTGCTATAGTCAAGGGATCATTTTTGTAATTAACTTTAGGGGTGGGCAATTCAGTTTAGTTTTCTCGAATCGAACCGTATCGAACAATTGGCTCGGTAATTTACCGAACAACCGAATGATATTGGATACTTGTATACTGAACGATTTGATAAAAAATTGATCCGAACCGATCCGAATTGTTCGGTAAAAATTGAACTGAACGAATGCCGTTTGATTTTTTTAATAATAATAATAATAATAATAATAATAATAATAATAAATAAATAAATAAAAAGTAAATCAAATTCCATTGCTGCTTGCTCTGCCGTTCAACTCATATTCTCACGGGTATCTTTCGTAAATGTTTGATTTGATTTCTTTATGGTTTGTTATCAAAGTTCTCAAGAATCTATTACTGTTCAGTTGTTCGGTATATTACCGAATCTAACTAGTTTGGTACGGTTCGATTCGAGAAAACTAAATCGAATTACCCACCCTTAAAGTTATTTACCAAAATGGTTCCTTGACTATAGCAAATTATCAATTTGGTCCCAAATTAACGGTTGACTAACGATCGTTGATCAAACAAACGGAGGACTAAATTGGTTAAAATTTTTAAAGTCCCGTAATTAGTCAAAAAAAATAGTCAAGGACCAAATTGGTAATTTCGCTATAGTCAAGTGACTATTTCGGTAATTAACTCTTAATAAAATTTTATAAATTGTAAGGAGAACTCCATATATAAAATCTTAGACGTAGGATTCAACCAAAGGGTACAAGCTTTGTTGGTGTTTTGATGACGTCTTTAGCGAATCAAATTCTATAATCTATAATTATAAATGTATTAAAAATCATGTAACAATCGTTATAAAATACGGAGTAATAAATTTATAAACGTATTAAAATAAATATAAATAAAGAAGTCTAGACAAAACCGAATAATGCCCGCTAATTCAATTTTAAAAAATTTGTAAAATAAAATAATTATGTCGTCATCTTCTGCAGTTTCAGCTGAAACGATGGAGTCCCTAATCCTTCAGCTTCACGACATCTCCGCCGTCAAGTTCGGCGATTTCCGCTGAAATCCGGCATCTCGTCCCCCATCTACATCGACCTCCGCCTCATTGTCTCTTACCCTAAACTTCTCTGCAGATTTCCCGTACCCTCACCGCCGTCGTCCCTCGCTCCGCCACCTACGACCTTGTCTGCGGCGTGCCCTATACCGCCTTCCGATTGCTACCTGCTTCTCCACGTCCAACAATGTGCCTATGCTCATGCGCCGCAAGGAGGTCAAGGAGTACGGCACTGCCAAGGCCATCGAGGGCGCATTTCAATCCGGTCAGGTCTGCCTCATCGTCGAAGACCTCGTCACCAGCGGCGCCTCCGTCCTCGAGACCGCCGCTCCTCTCCGCTCCGCCGGCCTCAAGGTTTCCGATGCCGTCGTCATGATCGACAGGTTACTCTCTAGTCTATAGTCTATACTCCTCTAATTCTGTTCGGCAATAAATGCTCTTCTCTGCATGTGCACTTGTAGGTTTGAATTCGCCCTTGTATGGAGATTTTAAGCGTAAAGCATTTTGTTTACAATCTATGAAATATGTATTATTCATTTCCACCTGCTAAAACCTTGTTTTTCATATGTTCTTTACTGATGTGTTTACAGTTCTTTTTTGGGCATTTGTTATTATTGTGATCAACAATAAGCTAATGCTTTTGGATTGGAGTATTAGGGTTTTTAACACATCTATTTCGACAGGGAACAAGGAGGTAGGGAGAACTTGGCTGAGAATGGGATTGCATTGCATGCAATGGTGAAGTTGAGTGAGATGGTAAGGATATTGAAGGAAAAGGGAGGGTATCGGAGGAGACAGAGAAGATGGTGATGAAGTTCTTGAAGGAGAACCAGAAAGTGGCTGCACACAATGCCAGGGGTTGAGAAGAAGGTTGAGGTTAGGATTCCTTATGGAGAGAGGGCAAAGATGACAGCGAATCCTACCGGAGGAGGTTGTTTGAGATAATGGTGCAGAAAGAGAGTAACTTGTGCGTGTCTGCTGATGTTGCCACAGCAGCTGAGTTACTCGATATTGCTGACAAGGTGAGGGGAAAAGGAGGAAATGATCAATTTATGTAGGCTGGTGATTTCGTAAAGTAAATAAATGATCAATTGGATGGCTTTTTAACTAGTATATACAAATGTAGAGGACATTCGTTTGCTTTAATTTATGAAAATTTATTGCTTATATATTTTCCAGGTTGGGAGAGAAATTTGCATGTTGAAAACCCACGTCGATATATTGCCTGATTTCACTCCTCATTTTGGCTCTAAACTTCGATCTGTAAGTTGGTTTTTCACAGTAGTATTTTTTGTTTCTTTCTTCTTTAAGTGAGCAATTGGCCCTTTGATTACTGTGTAAGAGAACAAAATCATCTAAAATAGAACTATTTGTATGATAAATATCGATATTTGGTGAATGATTAGATAGTTGAGCCAATAGTTGTTTGATTCTACGGAAGAACATAGTATGCAATGCAGAGAACTGGCAAATTGTGTTTGTCATTATTCACATTATTTGTCAGAATTTGGAATAAGGTAATGAAACAATTTGGTTCCTTTAGATGGATATTAGCATACAGACTTCAGGAAAGGTGGAAACTAATATGGTGGTTCTCTCCCCCTTCCCCAAGATTCTGAGAAATTGGGTGGCATAAATGCATAATCCTCTGTTATATGTTCCTTCCTAGGTCCTTGCCCATTGAATCTGTTTCTTGTTGGGAATAAAACAGGACTTAATTGCCTAGTATGTAGAGAACTAGAGATTTTTGTTTTTTTTTTTCTGGGTTGAAGTTGCCGAACCATATTTTATTAGTTTGCTTATGAAGATTGCAGAGAAACACAACTTCTTAATATTTGAAGATCGGAAGTTTGCTGATATTGGCAACACGGTTGCAATGCAATATGAAGGGTGAGTGAGTGCATTTGCAGTATAATAGGCTTATACTCCTTTCTCTTGCTCCCATTAAATTATCATTTGAACAGTCTACTCATGTTTGCAGTGGTATCTTCCGTATATTGGATTGGGCAGATATAGTTAATGCTCACATAATTTCAGGTCCGGGAATTGTGGATGGGCTGAAATTGAAGGTTTGCCATCTCTCACTCTATATATACACATACTATTATGCTGATGCTTTTCACCTCTGGACCTACATAATGCTTCGTTATTCATATGTGAGTTGCACCATATGCTTCACTTAGGGTTTGGCTCATGGTAAGGGCCTGCTCTTGCTTGCTGAAATGAGTTCATCGGGCAACCTTGCCAAGGAGAGTATACAGCAGCAGCAGTGAAAATTGCCAATGATCATCCAGATTTCGTGATTGGCTTCATCTCTGTAAATCCTGCAGCGTGGCCTAATGGACCTGGAAATCCGGCGTTTATTCATGCAACCCCTGGTGTTCAGCTGGTAGAAGGTGGAGATTCTTTAGGCCAGCAGTACAACACCCCATATTCTGTAAGTTCCATTGTTTACCTCTGGATTCACGCTTAAATGAAATGACAGAAATGACAGATGCTATTGTGAAGAATTCTTAACAGTAGATTCTTTTCAGTTTTAAAATTGTAGTAGAAACTTTCATTGTTAAGTGTTAATCATAAATCATTATTCTTTTCTTCTTTTTTTTCTATTAATATGTAATGGAAATTTCTCTTTTGAGAGTATATATCATTTTCCTATTTCTGCATTGTTGTTTCAGGTCATTTCTGAAAGGGGCAGTGACATTATAATTGTTGGTCGTGGAATTATTAAAGCAGCAAACCCTGTAGAGGCAGCTAGAGAGTACAGGCTCCAAGGATGGAATGCATACATGATGAGCTGTAAATAAGTATGAAACCTCACCCTCTATTTTCTCTTTTTTTTTCCACTTTTTCCAACATTCTTTCAGGGTTTCTGCAAAACTGTGACTGCTGTTGTGTCAGCAATATCACCTATCTAGATATGAACATTACATGTAATTGAAGTCCACACTACTGTTTTACTATAGTATACCTAATACCCTATTTGGTATATAGTCACCATGTTCACATGTTTCTGCATATGATATGTTGTCCAAACAGTAAACATAAGACTTCATGATCACATGACAAAGAACTGGCCTAGAATCCACCTCTTGAAACATATTTGATGCACAAGACATACAAAACATTTAGTGCATAACTAGGCATTCTCACTCATGTATTTCATGGACAAGCAAAGAGATCTTGCTTCATATGTTCAAAAAATACATGACCAAGAGAAATGGTTGGACTGCTAAACTGAACAAAATGTCTCCTAAGGTAGAAAACTAGAAAACATTTGTCTAGAGAAAACCCAGTCACTGTTCTTTCCATATCCTACCAGTGACTCTTAGTTTCAACTCCTTTCGATCACCACCCGAGAAAAATAGGGCCATGTTGCGTTGAATGATGAGGCCATCAAAACTGTCACGAACTTTTCGATGGCTATCCCTTATACTTCTTGGCACCCCTTGCCAAATCATCTTCCTCCCATTCCCTCCAACTTCAAGACTGTAGCTGTAGTTTTTAGCTTCATTATCATCTCCCATGAACCGCAAGAATGCTATGTAAACTGGTGCCATCCCCAACTGAAATGCTTCAAAATGCAAGCAAAAATACTGCCCAAAGCAACTGAAAACCTGGTATCAAGTCAAAAATAAAACACAACATGAACTGGTATGCTTTGTAAAACGAATAAGTAAACAGCTTTCATAGGTAGCAAGTAAAAATAAACACAGAACATGAACATGAACTGGTATGCTTTATAACACATAATAAAATAAACAGCTTTCATAGGTAGTCCACTGACAGTCAGTGTGGAGTGTAGGGCAAGTGTTCTTAGATAAAGGGAATTGAGCATGTCCATGACTGCTCATCTCACCTCACATATACAGCGGTGTTTATCAAAATTATATTGTTGCACCTTAAGCATAGCATGGCAGAGAAAAATAAGTTGAAACATTAAAAAGTAGTGCTTACTGTAAGCATCCATGTAGCATTCTCAACTTCGTGTGGATTTGATTTAACATAGCGATGGTTGAAGGTACTTCCACTATGCATATCAACCTTGTGATCATCTTTCAAATGAGCCACTAAAAGGGAATGTCACCAATCACTGTGCACTCTGATCCTGCATAAGGACAATTATAAGGTCTGAAAGCACATTGGGATTCATGCTTCAGTTTGCTGTAGTAAGGATAGATCCCCATGCACCCAAAGTCCTGATATTTACAAGGGAGCTCAAGAGATGCAGCAACCTTCTCCAAAGCAAGACATCTAATATTACCAAGCTCATGCCTGCAAGTTGGGCAGCGGTTGTGTACCCTGGGCTTGCAACCAGAACACAATGTGTGACCATTGCAACACTGGACAATAGGATAAGTTAGTATGGAAGGACAAAAACAGACACAGCAAACATGATTGTAATAACCCTAGCATCTTATAGATGGGTGCTTTGATGTATGTTCACAACTATTATACTGAAAAGTTGGTGAACATATCTCTTGATTGAATCTTCAGAAATAATATGATGATGAACATTAAGGCTTCTCGAAAGTGATTGATATGCAGGGTAGTTAACACGCTAGCTACTACCTTTAGAACTTGATTATCACCAATGTCACAGCTCATTACTTGTAATGATTAATACCGTTTATTCATTGGCAATGATCAGCCATGAGCTTAAACGTACATACGGTTACCACTTCTAGCAGTTCTACTTATCAAATGCATCAGATCCAACTGTTGAACCAATATAGTATGAATGAAGACGTTTTTCATATATGTTGAAAACCATTCTATTCCATTAGATAATCTGAAATTTCTACCCTTTCAAGCCCTTCTATTCTTCTAAGTAATCATACCTGATGAATTGGTGGATACATGGCATTTAGGCACACCGGGCATTCCAACAGTTCACGAACATTGCTAGAAACAGTTACATTAGGTTTTAGAGTATTCTGCATAGGCTCACTGGAAAGTTCACCAACATCCATTGAGTCTTCATCTTGTGGAGGATCAATGACCTCAGGTTTACATCGGATATCATCAAAATAAGGACTTCCCGTTGCCATTGATATTAATTGCTAATATAGTGATTGGTCCCTCCCTGAACACGTCACCTGTGTTAGTGTCTCGTCACCTGTGTTAGTGTCTCAGTTCAGCCCATACATTGAATTTGCATATACAAGTTTAAAAGAAAGAAGACAACAGGCACCAGAAACTGCAATGCTAACATTAAGGACATTATTATGAACTTCACATTTATTTCAAAGGTATTTATCAACCCTGTCCTTTATGGCAACTGTGCCATCTCTTCTGTCAATGCCCAAGAGTTTAACTGTATATTATGGGTTTGTATACCTACTGCAGTAAAACAATATATCTTATTATGGAGAACTGGAAGCAAAGGGCAATGCTAAAATCCTAGTTCATTCCATCAATCATGTCTAGAATATTTAAAACAAAAGTTCATTTATAATTAGCAAAAATGTTGCATTTCATATGTGAAACAATTCATTCAAAGCTATGATTCCTTCATCATTTCGATGTTAATTTCAGGGGAAAAAAATAATAACGTTAGCTCTGTAAAACTGTAAAAGCTTCAAAAGGCATGAACTAATGCACAATGGCAGACACGAAATAAGCAGATCGAAGCAAGAGCAATGCATATACAGTAAAGAAATTCAGGAAATGTGAAGCTTACAATGGAAATGGCACACTGAGGTTCAAAGAAGAGTCGCAACAGATCTAGACCATTCCATTCCGAAAACGACAACCGCCGTCCAACACGAAAAGAAAAACCATTCCAATCGGAGGAGGAGAAACCCTAAGAAGAAGCCAGGCGGCAGGGAGGCACTATCAGCTCTGCAAACTCAAAAGATGGAGACAGAAATGATAGGGATACATGAAATGGTGATTTGAAGAGGAGCAAATGATGGTGTAGTGAGGAGAGATTTGAGGAGCAGAAAAGGGGGATTTCAATTTTCAAAATAAAGGCGTGTCCTTTTGTGCGCGTTCCGGGAGAGAGAGAGAGAGAGAGCGTATGTCCAGAAATTAGACGTCTGACAAGCGGAAGCGGCACAGAAGAATTGGGCCCGCACGCGCTCACAAATAAACACCAGGGCGGTGCCGGCGGGTCTGTTTAGTACAATTACAAAAACAAAAAACAAAACAAAAATTAAACAAACAAACAAACAAGTTCCTATCCTACCTATTGTCATTTTTAGGGAAATAATTTTGTCCCTAAAAATTAATCACTTATTGCAAGACATATGACTTTCACATCAATTTTTAAAATGAATTAGTTTGAAATCATGCATTCAAAGTGAGAATTTCATAATCAAAGAACAAAAATAAGAAGTCATCAAACTTATAGACTAAAAATGGAAACGCTTTAATAAAAATGTGTAGTATATTATATTATGCATAGCTATAGCTTATAGACAACATGATAGATCGTAAATTTTTTTGCAGATAAAAGTCTTTAGCATGCTCGAGGATTGCAGTGGATTGAGATACCTTAGGCGCAATTGTTGGTGATCATGAACCAAAATCGATTTAATATCCCTAAAATAATATTTATATATATACACACGAAATATATATAAAGTATTATTTGATATATATCCAAAACATATATATATATATATATATATATATATATATATATATATATATATGCCGGAACCAACGGTTATATATACATGTATATCTACGAAAAGATATACCAATATATATCAACAAATTAGGGTTGGGGTTCAGCCTTTGGAATAATATATATCAACAAAAAAGGAACATATAATCCTTGGATTATAATTCCAAGTCAACAAGAAAGAACGGATTTTTGCTTAGAGCATAATCCAAAACAAGAAAGAAGGAGAAGGAAGAAAGATTAGTACGAGTTAGGCAAAGTGTCTGTCTTTCCTTAAAACCTTATTTGCCACCTCCCAAAAATGCTAGGAGCGTTGTGGCCTAGGCTTCCAAGATAAAACGTATAACGGTTCGACGTTTGAGTACCCAAATGAACGAACCCGGCGAATAAGAGCACGGGCAGAACACAGCTTCAAGAAAAGAGTAGAAGCAGAGGTATTTTGAGGCTGGAAAAATTATTTTTCTTGTGTGTTAAAAAAAGCTACTGCTGAACTCCTTCTTATATAGGGATTGAAGAGTGAATAGCCTTTATTATGGCATTTAGGGGCACCCCTACAACTCCTGTAACAGCAACCATTTACATAGGTTTTAATTCAAAATTGAAATTGAAATTAATTAAAAAATTAAATCATGTAACAGCTGATGAATTAGAACTCAACAATTATAATAGGGATATGCTTTTCTGGTTCGTGTATACTGTGCAAAGTTTCGGCCACTGCCACTTCAATGTTTCGGCCATTTGGCCGAAACTTGAAATTTCAAAGTTATTTGCAATGAAAGGTTTCGGCCACTTGCCCGAAACTAACAATAACAACACGAAGGCCACTTGGTCGAAACTAACAATAACAACACGAAATCGTGACTTTGTCGGAAAATGAATACAGAAGTTTGGCATAACGACTTGCCAATTTCGAGAGAGAGCCTCTATGCTATACAATTCAATAAACTTAAAAAGAGTTCTTGTATAAATAGTAGGGCAAATCCTCTTCCCAAGCCAATGTGGGACAAAAGCTCTTTTTTTCCCTTCATTTTCCAACTCAAATGGGTCTACTTTGAGAATCAATATCTCATTCACCCATTATCCATTTTTAGCGTACAATATATCAATCTCTTCGTCTCACTACGAAGAACCAGAATCCATTTTGACCCGACCCAAATCAAAAGTGGACCCCACTGATAATTGTATCACAAAATAACCACTTAATATGTCATTTTAAGCTATTTTTTCCAACAGCAATTTCAACATATTCTTGATGATGATATTCTTAACATTTATCCCTATAAAGAACTAACATTATACTCCGTGAATGATCATGACTTGCAAATTTCAATGTAGTTTCAACTTCCAAAATGGTGGTTTGAGTAAACAGATCAGAGGGTGAAAGTGGTGAGATTCTCTTCAACTTCAACCATTCCCACCTTCCATTTGGTGTGCAGACAAGACTTGCTGCTTTATTTTAGATTACAAGAATTATATATATATATATATATATATATATATATATATATATATATATATATATAGCTCTCATATCTTAATGCACCAAATTTTCAAATTTCTCCTCAAGTGTCATCATCAACCCACTTGTGGTTAGTTGGATCTCATGAATTGTTTATAAAACTTGAATCACTAGAGAAGCATCTTATCATCTCATAGTTGAAACTTGAAAGATATATATATATATATATATATATATATATATATACTTATATCACTTTTTCCCCCTCAATTATTTAGGTAAGCACATTAGCCCCCTCAATTATTCTAAAAGTGGTGCTTTTTCCCCGTGACATATTAAATTGACATTTATACCCTTAAAGTAAACATTTTATTTATTTTACTACTCCAACAAATTATTGCGTATACGTAGGGATGACCACGGATCAGTTTGAATTGAACCGGATACTAAAGCAATTGAATTAATAGTTTTCGGTTATAATTCAAATCTAGAACCCAATATTTAAATGTCAATGTATTAAAATTATGTATCAAAAAAATTGAATCTTGAACCGTGAACCGGCGGTTCCGGATTCGATTCGCGATTTTGAACCGTCTTTATTTTAAAATCTTATTTTTTATTTTAAAATAGTATAAATTCAACAATAAATGTATTTTATTTTTTCAGTTCGGAACATGAACCGTCCGTTCCGGTTCACGATTTTAATAAACTCGATCTAAATATCGAATTTCGATTCTAAATTGTAATTGGAATATTTCGGTTTGGTTGCTATAGTGTTTGTTTGGTTTGATCCAAATTATGGTCATAATTTGTTGGAGAAAAAAAATAAATTAAATA